GGTGTTACACTGGATTTACAAATAAAATTGGCTGATATCTTAATAACTAAAAGAACATACAAATAATAAATCAGAAGAGTGAGTTGGATAACTTTATTATCCTGGATTTACAAAAGAGTTGTGTTACACTGTTGAAGGAGTTCTGAAGGTGGAGGACTGAAAAGTACTGGTAATCAGCTTTGGGAACACTATTTAGACGCTCCAAGATTTTTAAAAGCAAAAAGAAGGATTATAAAGTTGGCAGCATTAATGGGTTTTTCTTAACTAGGACTGAATGATGAAACTTTAAAGATTTGTTTATAGACATAAAATATGGAAAGAAGAGATCTTTTATTGAAATGTTAGAAAAGGTGACAAATTACTGGAATTGTTTATACTTGCTGTGATGAAGGAAAAAGTCATTTCTTTATATAAAAAAAATTAAAAAGAAACAAGAAAATAAATTCAGTTGCTGTGACTCAGTTTCTAGACAACTGTACCTAGATGACTGAGAATCTTCATCAACATATTGCCACACATTTTGGGGAGGAGGAGGAAACCTTGCGGAAGGAGTTGGTACATTGCAATGACTCCCTGCCTTACTAACTTGCTTTGACTGGGGAAGCTGCTTGGATGAACAGCAAAACATCTTATGCCAAGAAGAAAATAAATCCAGTTGTCTCAATTTTCAGACAAGTCTACCTGGATGACAGAGAATTTTCATCAATTTCTTTATATAGTTTTTTTTCTTTATATTTTTCCCTTTCTTCCTTTTCTCTACACTTTTTAATTTTTTTTTACTTTTTCTTAATTTGCATTAATTTTCTATCTTTGTATTTTTAAGCTTTAATTTAAAAAATATTATAGGAAGTGTGCTAAGTGCAGATCAATATATTCTGATCACTTCGTTCTCTTTTCTCTTTTCACAATGTTGATATTTCATTCATAATGAAAAATCTGCCATCTGCTCTTAAGAAACAGCTCAATTAAGGTTACTGTGTTGTTTGCTGGGCAAAAACCTGAGCCTGCTTCTAGGCAGATATTACTGAGAAGATATTAAATATATTACTGATTTGTTCAGTGCTGTGAAAGATCATAGGCAATCAGTGTATATGATTCAGAGTCATATATTGTGGACAGCACATTGTACTTCAAGAGGTGGAGTTAATTGTGTCACAGAGGTTGATCATTTGGTGAGCAAATGTAAAAGTTATTTGCATATATGTCCACCAGATTTTCCTCCCTAGCATTGTTTAAGTCACTTAAATCAACACTTACCCAGCATTACAGTTGGGAAAGACACCTTAGAACTGCATATGGATGTGAGCTCCACTTGAATATCATTAGAAGCTTGATGTATATTTATTGCAGAAAAAGTGTTGTTCCTTAGGAACTGAAGAGGGCAGAAGGAGTGAAGCAACCAAGGTTTGGGCAGTTAAAGTTTCTTCTGTTCCTTCCCTGTCCGGATTTGACCTTGATTAAATGATGAAAATATAGGAAACTGGAAAAGTCCCAGATCACCCAATTAATGTAGCTTTCTCTACGACCAAGTACACACATGGAAGGGTGTGCCCATGGCTCTGTCCTAGGCCCTGGGTCTTTCAACATTTTCATCAATGATGTGGATGATGGTGTTGAGAGAACTCTTATGAAATTTGCAGATACCACAATGTTGGAAGGGGTAGTCAATGCCTTAGAAGAAAGAGAGAAGAGTCAAAAAGATCTAGACAGGCATGAACAATGAATTGAAATGAACAGACTGGAATTGAACAAGGACAAATGTGACATTCTGCAACCGAGGAGGAAAAGTGCAAAACACAAGTACATAAGTATGGGAAAGAGCTGATTTTTGGGTGAGTTGGAGAGACATTGCATTGCTTGGAACTGAAAAAAACCCAGTAATCATTCCCCTTTGTCTTCCGTGATACTTCTTGAAAAATTGCTCTCCTGCAGGGCAGTTAAAAGTTTTTGGGACCAGCGAAAGCTCTCAGGCAACCCACTTGGAATAGGAAGGGATCTGTGAGGGATGCATGTATATATTCTATAAGTGGCTTTCTGCTGAGAAAGCAACGTTTGGATTCCTGCACTGAAAAGGCCAAAAATGGCTCCTTCCAATTTTGTGAGTTTGTGTATGAATGTTTGGTGGCCTTATTTTGGAGTGGAAACTGTGAAAAATATGCGGAAAAATATGACACATTTAGAAATCATTACTCTAAATTAAAATAAAGATAATAGGCACTTTCCAAATTTTCCTGAAAAGAAATATGACACATTTAGAAATATTGACGTTAAAATGGAGATACTATGCACTTTCCATCTGTGAGGAGCAGAGAAAACAGATAATTTGGGTTGTCTGTTTTCCTCTCCAAATGCTTCCAGTTGATGATAACCTTCTTTTCTCCCTTGAAATTTAAATCAAGGTTGTGATTGGATAGCAGACTCTCCAGGAAGAGACATAATCACCCTCATTAACTGCAGAAATCACATTCTGGTATTTTTCATTTATGCTTCCTTCACAGTTACTTCCTGAATTTGTTTTCACACCCTTTTAATTTAAAATGCTGTGATTGAAAGTACAGTCTCTGAGAAAAGTCTAGAGTATGTAGGTGCAATCAGTATTCCCAGAAGAAATCTATCTGCATGGATGACATAAACAGACTATTAGCTATGGAAGAGTAATAGTGGTGATGTAGACATACATATTGAAAGAGGATCCTGAAAACCAGTACTCTATTTGCAGGGAATGCTGCTGAACAGGGCGGGAATTCTGGAGGCAACCCGGAATGCAGAGTGGGGAAGAAGGGCCAAAAAAGCAACAGTTGAGAATCAACTGGAGATATCCCAGGACTTCCAGACCGAGATGTTCATGATGCATCTTTCTCCCCCCCAAAAAACCATTTCTGCCCTTATCTGAATCCTGCTCTTTTGCATTCTGTTCATGGCCTTGATATGTGACACTTGTTTTCCCTCAAAGCTCAATCCCAACACTGACCAGTCTCTGGTCCCAGAGCAATGTGAGAACTGGACAGACTCAAATCCTTGTGCAAGCGACAACCTTACCCTGCTTGGTGGATCGGATGCTGGTGTGGTTGCTGCCTCTGGAGCGGGATCTGACATGGAGTCCGGTTCTTTTTTGTCCTCCTCTTCAGCTTTGGCTTCTACCGTTGTCATTGTGAGGTACCCTTCTTGCAAATACTGTTCAAAATGGGCTCCTTCCCTACAAATGAAGCTCTTTTGTTCTGGCGTTGATTGTGTGGGATGTTTCAGCACATGGACTTTGCCTACCCTCTGGCTGCCCTGATCCTGCTTTAGTGATTTATACAGAGTGGCAGCACTAAGCCCCCTCCTTGGCTCTAGGCCACACCCCCAGAACGATCCCACTCTCTATGCAGGATCAAAATTCATATTTAATAAACACAGGCATCCAATCTGCTCTGTCCATCAGGTCCCGATAATCTGCATAAAGATTATCCTGAATAATTGCAATACTCTTTATTAGGGACTGTGGATCTATGTGCAGGAGGATGCATATCTCTGTGCATAGTTGTGTCATACTATGAAGGAGTACTCTAGATTTGCAACACTTGCAAATCTTATTTTGTCTTGGTCCTGTCCTGATCCCAAGAGAATCTGAAGGGATTCCTTGGTTGGAGATCCAATACATTTGGTTTCCAAGTGAGAAAATTCCATTGCCCTGGTTTTGGGTGCTGCTCGTTTGGCGAGCAGCTGTGAGATCCTGGCCCTCAAGCTGACTCACAATTTTTGGCTGTACCACCTGGTGCCAAGCCTTACGATTCCATAATAAAGAGCTATGTTTGTAAAGCAAAGATAAAATTGTCAACTTCCCTAAAGTGTACAAAGTCTTTGCCAAAAAGTCTATTATTGTTTTGATAATATTTGGCCTGGTATGTTAACAAATCTTTGGCACAATCATAGCAGGAAGAAAATAATTGGTCTGGATTAGTTGGGTGGCAATCAAACAGACTCCTGTTCTCACTTGGTACCATAATTGCTTATCAGTAATCTGAACATGAGCAGGTCACTTCCTTCTTCCCAAGCTCACCCACCTTCTCTCTTTCTCCTACGCAGATCTATTATACATTAATTAAATTAAAGTAAAGTAAATATTTGCTGGAAATACAGTAGGCCAGCAACACTGATGTTGCTCTGTCAGATTTAAAGCCAGAGCATCTTCTGAAACACAACCAGCCTTGTCTTTGGCAGCAAGATCATTTGATACTTCCTGCCTTTCCTTACGGGTGGTGGGTGGGATGGATATGGGAATAAATAAATCTAGAGATTTGTAGAAACAGCCCTGTACTTTGTCAGGTATTTGCAGACCAAAAACCAGCATCAGGGGGAAAAAAACCAGCAAAGCAGGTGAACTACATGTCCATTGGGTAAAGTAACTAAATGTTGATTTTAAATTTGTCTTGTGTGACAATTAGTATTAGTAATATGATAGTGAGAAGGGAAGCAGCAACTGTCTTCCATGATCTTTAAGGTATTTGTGATTATGAGAATTAGGGAAGATCTATAGCCCAAAAAAGTGTCCTCTAGATACATTCTAGTCCAGACTGAAGTGGTCTATGGTGGGGGAAAAAAGGCAAGGACAGAGGAATAGAATGACTAAATCTTTCTGCTGCTGTTGTGTGAAGAAGTACTGGTGAATATCAAAAGTGGACCTTGCTTAGTTGGTTGGCTCTGGAGGTCAGCGAGTGGCAGTTAACCTTGAGGGCAGGGAGACACCAGAAGATTAATACAGCTTTGCAAGCTCAGTATTGGGACCTGTTACTGCCTCTAAATTAAAGTGGAGACATATTGCAACAAAGGCAACATGCCCAGCTAATCCTGGCAGCAAAGCCCAGGACAGGTTTCCATAACTGGGATGGGAAGCAGGGGGGTTAACCCTAACAGCAAACCTGTTCAGGGAGAGTGAGCAGGATTAGGTTCCAGTGTGATCCCAGGCAAATTTAGATGGAAAGCCCAGAAGCATCTGGGGAGGTGCACCATTCACTTACACTTTCAGAGAACGGTCCCTTGGGGGTCCTGGTGCTGGCATAGCGGATGCTGCTGTCATAGTCTCCAAGAAAGGAACTGGGAAGAGCCTGATAGGGGCGGCCAGGCATGGAGAGGGCCCTGAATGAATATAGGAAGAACTTCTGTGGACGCTTTGCATTTCCAAAGCTGCTTTTCTTCTTCATCACCTAAGGAAAGGAAAGCCGATGTGGAGGAGTGGTTAGAGCACCAGAGCCAGAGTGAGGAAGACTCAGGCTCAGGTCCCTGCCCAGCTAGAACTCTCATGGGAAAATTTTGAACCACTCCCTATATTTAATCAAATCTGCCTTGTAGGCCTGTGGGAGGCAAAATCGGAGGTAGTGTTCTGGCAGAGAAATGCAAAGGAGAAAGAAAGAAAGGAGAAGAAAATAATGGAAGGAGGAAAGAGAGAAGGAAGCAAGGGAACTGTGAAAATAGAGTTGGGGATACCTTCTTTCCTTACCTCTCCCCTTGACAACCTATCTACTTCCTTCTCCAGTTAAAGACATCTTCCTCTTCCAAATTGTCATGAGATGCCATTTTATGGTTCTGCCATTGTGACCACTAGTGATAAAGAACGGGCTTTGAAATACTGCTCTTGCTTTCTGCTCCCTGGTAAAGCACTTGCCAAAGTTGGTAGCCAAATCTCAGAATATAATCCAAGTGGAGTGACTCTGGAGTCGCTTCTTCTGTGAAAAGCTTTCTACCAGATCGGACATGGCCTCACCTGATGGCAGACGATCTGGCCCTGAAGTGATGGCCTCAAAAAAACATGGCTGAGTAGTCACAGACCAGAATTAAGAATACAGCTCTGCCCTTCCACACTTCTTTCTAAAGCCAATCTCCTTGTCCTGGATATTGTTTCAGGGATGAGCCCAAAGCATATGATAAGTCTGGGTCATCCCTGGGAAACTGCAACATATACACCTGCCCCTCCAAGACTAACAGGTTTGTTGTGCAGCATGGGCAACGTTGTGCGCAACCCTTTCCTCCCTTTCAGTATCTGCCACCGATGGCGGATAAGTCATTGTGCCAACCAAAAGGACCCATCAAATTTAGCCCTTCTCCTTAAGGCAAGCACAGAAGCTCCCATTGCAGGCCCCCAATCAATACAATCTGCTCCCTTACCTGAGATGCTCCTGACATCCACTTCCTGCAGAGAAGCCTTCTGAAACTCTTTCTTTCTGCTCTCTTGTATGTGCTCTAACTCCTTTCTTCTACACTAGCAAAAAACCAGGGCCCTTGGAGTTTTGTGGGCCTTGGAGCCTTGTTAGCACAAGCTAGTTTTGCCCTTTCCCAACACAAGTTTCTATGACTCCTGACTTCCTTGGGGAGAGGCGGTAAGAAAGAGAGACAATTGCCATTAGATTATTCTATGAAAAGCAGCAGAGTAAGTGCTCAATCACCTTTGCTTCTTTTTCTTCTTTTTTTTTTGGGGGGGGAGGGGTGCATCAGAAGTAAGCTATCAGAAGGATTTAAAATGCCCCAATTGTTATCCTCTGCATCAAAGAAAAACTCAGTCTAAAAAGACTGGCTTTGCCTTGAGGGGAGCAAAGTGTGAGTGCATTGTAACACTGGGGGCCCACTTGGTTTGGCATTAGAGGAGTTCATCCGAAGAGGTTGTGAAAAAGTGTGAGAAGAGAGAATGGAAAACCAAAACCAGATTAACACATGCTCAGATATTTGCTTTAAAAAAAAATGCATCTGCTACTATAAGCATACATTCAACAGTGTCCTAGTGTTCATGATCGGCTTGCTTGTAATATTTCTTAAATTTTGTACAGGTTTGCATGCTTGTGTTTAAGCACTTTGCAGAATGACGGAACAGAGGGAGGCGTCTTCATAGAGAATTCAACAGGGGAATCAGATGGGTCCACAGATGCCTGACTGCTTACCCCATCCTTGTTGGCTTCCTTGGGACAGGAACGGTGGCCCTCTGCTTTCAACATTCCTCTTGTTGGCATGTGATGTTCCCAAGAAGTTGTCCTTCCTTCTCTTGGCACCAAGCAGCACTTGGACCTTTTCACTGGTTTCTTACTGATAATGAAAACCTTGACCAAACGGGCAGGCATGACTCTAGAGTCACCTGCTTTCCTGCAAGGTCCATGCAGAAGGTTCCTTCACCCAGGAACAATGCCCAGGCATACAGAAGACTGCTTCAGAAGAGCAAAGCAAATGGACAGTTGCCCTTAAAAGTGATTCTGAGGAAAATGAGGGCTGCTTCTTCTTCTTCTTCTTCTGTCTTCACATGCTTTAATTACCGGGGCTTTAGGGAAATTGCCACACTTGTAGGTGTTAATACTGTTCCATTTGGTGAATCAGTTTTATGGTAGCCCCTTTTGTAAGTTCTAAGTTAAAGTGGAAATTTTGAGTGCCAGGGAATGTCTCACAAACAGTTCGTGCATATGTTAAAAGGGGACTTCTGAACAAACAGTGCTTTATGCTACCAATATACTGTACTGTGCAGCATTTCACCTTTTCTTAGTGAATGGCTTTTGTGTGAGATTTTAATACTTCCACAGAGGCATCCCTCTCTGTTCCAAGTACAGCAGATTAGCCTAAAAACTCTAGGGCTGAATGCTCTAATTCAGATAATTCCTAGCAATTCAACTCACATCTTCCACAAAGTACGTTCAACTTTGAAGTGATGTGCAATGCCTCAGGTTACTTCCATTTAAAAAATGGTATCGGCAGCTGGCTATTTTACTGCAGTGCAACCCCAACGTTTTGATTCATTTAACAATTTAATAAAATAAATTGCAGCAGTTTTGTTCTTCTGAGAGAAGCAAGAGGACCAATAGTTGAAGTGTCCCCAAATAATGAGATCCATTCAATGTTCTTCAGACATTTGGCTTGAACCAAATGGTGTCCAGGTAGGAAAATACAGAGGGTGGAACTATCCAATGGCTGGTTACCACTTACGATTGTCACCTATTGCTCTGATACCTGAGGGAATAGGTATGCCATGCTAGTTGCTGGGCTTGTGATTGGGAGGTTTCTCAAGGGAACTGGTTGGTCACAACAGAGAACAGGAGGCTGAACTATACAGCTCTATGATCTGATTTTACAGAGTTGCTTTTATGATTAAAAATATCCATTATTAGCGAGCAATGCTAAAATAGTTTTATCAAAAGTATTTTCAGGAAATGCCTAGAGGTATAATGACCAACCTTATTTCAAATGAATGTGTGCGTAATGCCTAATTACATATGAAATGTTTATAGACTTTGTTCAAGACATCAGGAGTGGGAGCAGACATACTCCTTGTTCCCAATCTACTTCATTCCTTTGTATTCTATGTAGATGCAGAAATCAGGTGTGCATCTTAGAAAAAGGACCAACCTATGGAAATCCTATTTGCCAGTAAATGGCACTAACCAGCTATTCTTGGCTGCAGCTTCTCATCAAGTTTTCTGCAATGTAAATAGAACATCTCAGTATGTTGTGCTCAAGCTCTGAGATCCAGCTTCCGTAATTCCCATGATGGCTGGGGCATACGGGAATCGAGATCCAAAACCAGCAGAGGCCAATAGATTGGGGAAGCATGTCACTAATGAAACTGACTCAGATGCCTGCGTTATAGGTCTGTCCTGCAGATAAACTCTTTTGCATTTACCATCTCTGTAGGTACATACTTACTAAAACAGAGTATGTTGAGATTATTTTATTATTTTTGTGTTTGGCGTTCAGGAACTGTATGCTCTGAATGCAAAGGAAGGTATCTCTCATTAATTCAGACACATAGGCCAAGGGTAATACACTGAGTAAAATCTAGGAAGGAGGTTAAGAACTAATTTCCTCCCATTTAATGCAGACTCAGCGTGCAGTCCTTTTAAAGTAGCAGAAAGTTTCCTTTCTGTAATAGAAACAACTCTAAAACATTCACAACTGAAGACTATAAAGTCCTTTGAGCCTATTTGTCAAAAAGCACCCTGCCTATAAGTGCTGTGTTCAACTGACATTTTCTGGCCTCCTCTCGTTTCAGCCACTGCAATATTAATTTAAAAGGGGGAGATCAAACAAGGCTTAGATCACCTGCTATAGCCTATTTAAAGGTATTTTAAAAAGTGGCACACAGGAAGAGGATTCCCCCCCCAAATTCCTGCTTCCACGTGTAAAAAAAAAAAGAAAAAGAAGCGTATTACTCATTGGATCTCAACTTTTCTCTGGCACCAGTTAACAGGCTTAGAATAGATTGGTTCAAGTAGGGTTGCTGGAGCTTGTCCAGTAATTAGGAAATGAGGTTTAAAAGCTCAATTCATCCCGTAAACAGATGGGATATGGATTGCTTGCTAAATTTACAATAGCACTAGGAGCTAATTGCATAACTCAAAAAGGTCTTCCAGCTACTCTATGCTTGTACCTGTGGCAGGTTTCAAGAAGCATAGCAAAGGGCTGCAGAACCTCCCTACTACTACAAGACGGTGAAATTCACCAGTGTTTTTCTGCCAGTTTTTCATTTGGAAGAGAATGTATTTTAGAGATGTTTTCAAAGGAGAAGAGTATTTCAGAAAAGGATTTGAGGAAAGTATTTTGTTACTTATTTAGGGACAAAGTGGGGAAGAATATTGTGTCAATGTTTCTTGGTGCTAGAATCTTCCCACTAGCTGTCTGGTCTCCCTTGGTTAACTACCTATAGGCTTCCTCCTACTGGACTTTTCCACAGCAACACTAAAATTACTAGCAAAGGGAGTTCAGCTCTTGAAAAGTTGTTTGATACTTTTTTTTTCTTTGCAAAATGTCAGAGAAATTGCCCACTACATTTGGAACTGTGTGCTCAGTTCTACTGTATAGGTTTTTCCCTCCAGTGAAGGATGAAATGATGGGAGGAAATGGAACCAAATTAAAATAGAAAGGCATTGCTCCAAAAATATACTGCAAAATTGTGCGTGATTCATCATTGAAGCTTTTTTTCAACAAATGACTCCCATTTCCTGCAGAACAAAGTCTTGGGGGGGAATTGCCATCAGCCCAAACTATCCTACCGATAATCAGGTTATGAAAATAGTTGTCTTTCATGCCCTAGAGCAGAGTTTGTCAAATTGTGTCACATGGAACCTAAATGAGGTTCTGTGAGAGACTAAGAACTAAAAGAAAAGAGGAAAAAAAGTTCACTTTAAATGCAACCATTCTTCATAACTAGAACTTCTCCTCTTGCTCTGGGGTCCTTAGAATTTTCTTTTAAACCGGTTCTGTGGCCTGAAAAGTTTGAAAATCCCAGCTATAGACAGCATTCCTCTCTGGCATTGTATATAATTTGTGGCTTATACAGGCAATCATGGAAACATTTACCTTCATCTACAAAAGATGCTGTAAGCACACAAACGAAAATCTATAAAATTGCTCAAAGGACTTAAATGAGCTCGTTGAGAAACAAATATTTTCTTTGCTTTTGACAATCATTTTCTTTTACCAAGCCAGAAGGGGAAAGTATATCTGGCTCTTGCACTAGAAGCTTTTGGCAATGTAGCTACAGAAATCATTCTAAAGCCATCTTATACCGCAGCTCCTTCCTTGCTGCTTTCCTAGGCAGAAAGACATCTAGATAGAGACTGTCAAAGAAGTATTTAGCACCTATTTGTCTCTCTGTCTGTCTCTCTCACACACACATCCCCCTCTTCCGATCCACTGCCCAGCTCAAGACAGCTGCTTTACAGTAATTATCCAAATGGATAGTTATTGCAATTAATTCCCAAGCAGGAGTCAGTACTTAAAGCTTTACACAGGGCAGATTGTGTGGGGGTGTTCAAAAAAGATCTGCAACAGGATCATATAAAAATGACTTATAGGATACTGAGATCTCAACCATTATACAAGAGTTTGCCAGGTGGAAATACATAAAAGCTGTATTATGTACTTCTGAACCTAGAAAAAATGAAGCCTAGCCACAACACATAGGAAAAATAGCAGAATCCAACTAGCATGAATGGGAAATTGACTCACACACTAAGTCAGACAATAGCTTCTAACAGTTAATGCATCAGCCACATTGTAGCCCATCCCAGGTCATTAATGTTGCCACATAACGATGGATGTGTTTGGAATATTTAGTATTCATGCATATACAGTATGTATTAGGGATGACTGTGCTTTAATTTTCAGGTGCAAACATTTATCACAATGTTATATTGGTGTAAAAGTATTGAAGAAGAATAATGTGCCATCATTTTAAAATACATTTGTGTGGTTATGCACTGTGCTACTTGCACTTTAGGTAGCACTATCTCTTCTTGCAATAGTTGGATATGCTCCATACATTAAATATGAATCCATTCTAAAAACCTTTGCTTGTATTTGCATGGAGTTTCTTATAGAAACTTATATTCTATCTGCATTACTCAGAGATGCATCACAGAATTTCAATACGGGTTAGTTATAACAATCACCCTGTTGTAACTCAGAAGCTGGAACATTAACTGATAAAAATTATTCTTTCCCTGTTATTATTGTGCTTTGGGCTTTAAGAATCAATAGGATTCTTAATACAGGTCTACAGCGTGAGTTGAAGTCCCCTATGTACTTGATTATTATTCTACTTGGAAACAATCAAAGTAAAATAGAGGGAAAGACATGGGAGTTGGCTAAAGGAATCAATACACATTGGAAAGAGAAATCTACAACTAATTTGCAGTGGTTGATTGTTGCTACGTGCTTGTAACCTTATGATTTTTTTTTTCAACAAAAGGAAAAGGAGAAAATTTTTGAGCAATATGAAGTTTTTGCAATTACATATTCTTTCTCATTCTCTTTTTATTATTACTGTACTTGTCAATTATGAAGTTGTATTGAACTTTTAATACTGTTATATATACCTGTACTTTTGCTGATTAGTTTAGCATTAAAATATTAATTAAAAAGAACCTCTCTACCTGCAATTATCACAGGATGTAAAGCTATTCCATGTTTAGCACAAAATCAAAAGACATATCTATTTTCCTCTCATGGCACAGCAAAATTTTCTTTTTCTATTTTTATTTCTCTCTGTAACAGTCAATAGCTACATTTTGTCTGGGCAGTTCAGTGAATGCAGCTTAAACTTATACAACATCAGATAGCGCAACATAACATACCCTCTCTAAACATTAAGAAACAAATACACAAGAAAGCCTGAATAAATCTGTGCCATAGAAAGAGCTAAACAG